GGGGGGAGAGGAGGAAGTATTTTTGCAGATGGGTCTGATAACACTGTTCTTGATTCGCAGCTCCTGGGTTTTTTTAGTTTTTTTTTTTTTTCTTTCACCCAGTAATAGATGCTGTCGAAGAATACTCTCTTAGTAGCATGTGGCAGTGTATAATTCTGTGAGAAAGAAGGTGGGGTGAAAAGTATCCTTGTCTGGCTGAGGGTGGAGGGCCAAGGTCAGTGTTTAAATTTTTTTCCAAGATAGGTCCGTAAGTGGAAAATTGTAGTCATAAGAAACACATTTGTGCTAGAAGAAGCTAGAGAAGATGCCATTCTGCAAAAAAAAAAAAAAGGAACTGTTTCACCTTTATTTATTTATTTGTGTGTTCATTTTTCCTGGGAAACTGGTACAATGTACGCTCTTACTGAACTCACCTGTTGACCTAAATAAGTTTTCACAGTAAGACTTGGCTGGTACAGGTGCACTGACAAACTCTAGCAGAGGCAGGGATTTAGGTGGCAGTGACATATGCTCACCTGGTGCACAACTGTGGCAGTTTAAGATGTCCCTGTGCCCTCAGACTTTTGTTTCTGCCTTTGTAGCAAAGTGTCTGCTACAATAGCAGCAGGTATATAAGATTCAGTCACTGATGTGCAGAATCTGATGGTTTAGGCAGTTAATGAATCAGTGCCTGATGTTGCATCAGGGAAGCGTATCTGTGCATCCATGTTCTGTTTTGCCCCTGGGCCTTGGGAGCAGTAACCTCTAGTGGAAGGGCAGTGACAATGATACTGTCAAGGACAGTGGTGGATAAATGGACCTGTATCAGAGACCTGAGATAAAATAACCAGACGTCTGGTTCAACAGCAATAAGAATGATCGTGCCAGGTTAGACTGAAGGCTGCTGTAGTGTGTTGTGCCATCTCTGTCAGACTTCTTAACATCCATAAAGTTTGGTTCAATCCATATCACAATACCATTTGGTGAAAATTAGTAATACTAAACTATTTTTTAGCCACATGTATCTTAATTTATTTTAAAAAGTGACCCAGTTGTTGATGATATTTCTAGTAGATAAAGGCTTTTACCATCTTCAGACATTGACGTGGTACAAATGTTAGAGGTTACTGTATTCCTTTTGCGTTGTTTTCACCCCTTGCTGCAGAAATCTCCTCTTTAGCAGTGGCAAAACAAACAAACAGCAAATGACCCCAAGGCTCTACTAGATTTTGGTAATGTGATTTTTTTACTGGGCTTCTGATGTGTTTTAACAAGGGTGCCAGAGACACCCTTGTGCCTAGTTTTCTAGAAGCAAGTCTGGTTTTGACCTGCTCACCTTTTTAAAAAACTTTTTGATTTTGAAACTTCTTATTAGAACCTAAGTAATTAACTCACTTTGAGTATTTTGGTTCTTGTAAATTCTTCTGGTTAGTTAATTCTTGAAGTTGCGTTTAATACTTTTCTGAAAGAGATAAGAGAGTAACCAGTGGCTTTTAGTGGCAGCAGTTGCAGCTGGTTATAAACTTTTTTCTGCATCTGGTAATACTAATCTAATGAAGGGTGATAGAATCTTGGATGAGGATATTATTATAAATGTTCTTTGAATTCTTTGTTTATGATTTCTTCTGCTAATTTTAGAATAAGCCAAAATAAATAACAGTGGTCTATATGATATAATTCAAGAATCCTTATGTTTTCTTTGATGCAGTACACAGATCAAATTCCTATCAAAGTCCTACAAGGCCCATCTCTTTCTGGCTGGTACTCCATTAGTCCCTTTTCCCCTTCTTGCATACTGTCTTCTCAGTGTTTCTAGGCTGCGTCTCTCATCTCTTGATGTTTTGATGAAAACAAAACTCTTCTTTTAAACCATGGGGAGACTGACATGATTAGGATATTTTCAAGCTGTTTACTAAATCTGTATTTTAAACTGGTCTTTGACCCTTATCGTGTAGAATAATTTGGAATATTAAGTTTTGGGCATTTTTCATCGTACGTTACTCCTCTTGCTGTAAAAATTAATGGAACTTTGATTTACCCTATAATTAATTCTGCCTTTTGTTATGTCACAGACATGGTAACAGTATGTGTATAAGAGAAGACAGCTTACAATTGAAATAAAAAGCCTGTGTGCTTGATAAAATTAAATTGTTTCATATTCTGAACATTTGACGAAATGTTGCAGAAGAAGTGACTGAACTTGGATAGATTGATGCCACTTAGCAGTATACTGATACACTGTTTCTAGGGAACGTGGGAGGAGGACACTGTGGCTTCCTTTTAGCACAATATATTTATAACATTTATTTGGCAAAATCTTTGGCTGCATGCATGAACAAAATCTTGATTGCTAGTGAATAAATGAAAAACTTGAGTATTTTAATTTAATCAGTAAAAGGAATTCAGCTGTGTATCTGTGCAGATTACTGAGTAGCTGCAATTTCAGATTTCTAGAACAAGAACACTGTCAGGTTCATTTAATCTGAATGCATTTTAGTTTTGTGTTATCAGGTGGCCCTGACATACTACTACTGACGTAAGTTTAGCTCAGCTAAACTTTTCTGAAGTCAACTTATCTACTGTAGCTGTCTTGATTGTTCTTCATTCAGGGTAAGGTTGTTGTTGCATTATTTAGAGTCAGTTGGTAAAACAGTCCAATAAAACATCATCTAGATCTAGCCATAGATAGAGCCTTTGGCTCTTTTTGTTACATGGATCTTTGCTTGGTTGATGACCAAATTTTATTTCTGCTAAATATACCCCTGCTATGCTGAACAAACAATATTTTTCAGAGTTATTAGCAAGTACAAACTATTTCTGTATTGCTTACCTTGCGCTAACTTTATGGATCATCTCTGTACTATGAGTGCCAGTGGATGCTACACTATGATATGTGGCTACACAGAAAAGTTCATTTCACATCCTGGCTCCGTAGTTCAGTGGAGTGAATGATATTATCTTCATCCAAGCAATATTCAAAAGTTTTAAGTTCTTTACTGTAGATTCAGCTTCGGGTATTCCTCGTTAAGTTTGACTGCTTCTATTGAAGTTAGAGTTTACCATAAATAATGCTTGAATAGCTGGGTCCGTGTAGTGAAGTCCTTGACCTTGTCCATGTGCCTTTTAAGGAGATGTCTCCCGACTTTGAGCACTGCAGTTAAGAGTTCTTATATAAAGTGTTTCTTTAATATTTTTCATTCTAGTTTAAGGGGTTCTGAGTATAAATTGTCCCTCCTGCTTCTCCTGTTCAGTACTCTTTAAAATTACATGCATAGGCAGAGGGGTTCTTGAAAAGTGACATTATAAGAAACAGGTATATAAAAGCAAACTCATCCAAAAAAAAAACGGTCCAGCTCTGGGTGCATGTGAGCCAGTTCAGACAAGTAGGTCCTTTGCTAGCAGTGATACGCTGGATTCCTGACAGGCAGTATCAGGTGTAGCAGATGATGATGCTGTTGGGAGCTGATAACACACCTACTTAGTGCATGACACACACAATTTTGGATGAGGAGGTATAAAAATAGCCATACCTGCTACATATTACAACTATGAGATATGGAAGTCAGGAAGCAAGGAAGAACACCATTTAAAAGGACAAAGGCAGTTTGATCTTGTTAAGGGAAACTGTTTCTGTTATTTGGAATATTGGAAAAGCTAGTATGTCCTGGGGAAAATAAAAAGCCAATTGCAGAGCATGAGCTTATGCAAAATGCTAACCCAGTTGAGTTGACTTGTAAAACAACATTGCAGTATGTTCAGGAAGTGTGCTGCACCACCTGGCTTTCGGGAAGGGCATGAGAAGTGGGCTGTGGTGCCAAACCCAGACTAGTTTCTTGTGTTGCAGTCTGCCAGCAACTCCAGTCTCATGAAGAACGCTGCTGCAACACTTCAGTGGCTCTGCAAAGGCTAGCATGAGTGCATGAAGACTGATGCTGGGCTGGCTGGTGGATTTACTGTAGTGCTGCTTAGCTGTATTTGCTGCTTGTTCTCCAACATGCTGCATCCCAGGAGTGAAGTATGATATGCAAAAGGCTTTCCATTACAAGACGCCAAGGCCTTTCCAACAACTTAAACCTGTAAGACCAACACCAAACTTTTCTGCAGACATTTAATACCCCTTCCCAATATTCTTCATGCTATGTGCAATGCTTCACATGAGTACAGTAGGAAAACCTATTAGAGCTAGTCTTTATTAAGGTAAAATCTGACTCCAATTTTTAAAGCCTATCTACTTGCTACATCTGGAAAATATTTGACTACTTTGCCTACTACACGCAAGCTGCTTCATGTAGTAATAGGGAGTGGAGACCTTTGAACTTGCATGTAAGCATTTCCGCAAATGCAATTTATACTTCTACCTCTCTGTGAACCTTGTAGTGCCATGCTAGCAATTTGTTAAAAATCCCCAAGGCAAGGAGGGAACGCCATGCTTATCTGCTTGCATAACCTGCAAGACTGCACTGTGTTGTGCACAGGCATCAGGAAAATAATAAAGGTATGTAAGTCGATGCTTTGTGGTATAACTGAAAGAAAAATGAAGTATGTGTTGAATATATCAGACTTCTGTGCATAACGATGTTATGCAGTACAGTACTATATGGGAAAAAAAATTAGCTTGTACATCAGCATGCCACAGTGCAGCAAGGTTCAAAATATTAGCTTGAATCCTGGGAGCAGCATAGCCACATCAGTTCAATTAGCCATGCATTGAATGCTACAAAAATGTGGCTGCGCTGCTGCTGCTGCAGAGCTAGCTCATTTCAAGCTAGTGCAGGGCTTTCCATGTGGTATTGTGGTGTAGCCATACCTGATATTTCTGACAGCATATACTAATAGCAGTATGGTAATATGATCTGCGGTTGGGAGGAAGAAGAGGTTGCTCAGCAAGGTGAGCATTTTTGTTAACTTCAACCTGTTCTGTTTTCTATGTCTTTTCAAACGTTCCTTTTAGAAACAAAGGTTCTCTTCTTTTTTTTTTTTTTCTTTCTTCTTTTTGTAGCTCCTCATTCTTTTATCATTTGTGACCTAGGCTAAAACCAGCAGTTTTCTAAACAGTAAATGTATAGGTAACTGGTATGATTGCAGTCTTACCAGTGCCTTTTAGAAATAGATTAAAACATGATCACAGTTGGCTTCTTTATTGGCTTTCTTAGTGTATATATGCTAACTTTATTCACCTCTCAGCTTCTGTATTAAGTTTATAAGCATCTGATGAAAAACTGTTCCTACAATGATACTCTTGTGACTGTGTTCACTTGCAGGCATCACAATGATTAACCACCAGAGTATCCTGTGAAGTGACTGTCTGAACACAGGATCCCTTTCTTGTGTCTGTGCTCTGTGCCGAGACTAGGGGCATGAGCTGCTTCCCTGGCCCAGAATACTTTCATTCAGTTGTGTAATGCTTTCAGGCCGCAGTAACTTCACTGGTTTTGCAGAGTCCTCTGGTATTGCATTATTTATTTATTTTTTCAAAGGATGAAATACGAGAAAAATACTTATGCTGGGTTGAACAAACTCTAAAAAATCATCATATGGTTAAATTCCATCCTGCCAGTCAGCACGCAGTTTCCTGGTTTCTCCCATGTTCCTCAGGCAGTATCACACGTGTCCATATCTCTTGTCATCCTCCCTCCATGGTATGCTCTCATATGTTCTCAGCTACTGTTCAGGAACTCAGTGCATGGTTATAATACAGACAAGCTTTTACTCCTCAGATCTAGTAGGATTGCTTCAGTCTCTCAAAGGCACACATTGGTGTCTAGGAACCACTTCAAAATGACTTTTCAGATTTGAATATCTGAGAGTTACTTTCATCAACCGTTACAATAACAGACAAGCAAGATTTTCAGGCATTCAGGAAGATGTGTTCCCCTGTAAATGCCGTTTCTGTCTGATGTGTAACAAACTCGCATCTGAAGGTAAAATAGTAGGCAAGAGTCCTTGAAAACTGTCCATGTTGAAAAGTCACTTTTGGCTGATGGACCTGCTGCAGGTTCTTGGCTAGATTTTGCAATACAGTGGATGAATATCTGCATGATGGCTTAATGCAGGAATAACAAACCCACTCAAAATACAGATTCCATCAGTGCATTTGGGAAGTACTGTGCATTCAGATGTGCATCAGTTATGGTTTAAAAGGTTAACAAATCTTGTGTGTCAGCATTAAAAGGTGGTTCATGCATGTTTCATGCCATTATAGTAGCCCCCAGCAGTTAATTGTGTGTATGATAGTGATGTGTCTGCCTTGTAGCATCTGGATTTGGGAAGTTTGCAGGGTATAGCGGGGGAAAAAAAAAAAAAGCTGTTACGCAGCATGTTTCTTCTGCAGCACTGGTGTAAGCTCAGTAGGGGTCCCCACAAAGAAATGTCCTGAGCTAATTTGAGTTTCTGCAGCCACTGCTTGTCAGCTGGTATTGGCAATGAGGTCCTCTCCCAGGTAAATGCTTGAGTCTTAGGCTCAGAATAGCAGTCCAGGGGGTGAAGTTGTTCCCCGAAAAGCCATCCTGAAACAGTAGCTTGGTCTGGCTGTCTGTTTTGACATGCTCATCTGCTGTCTTTTTTCACCTGGGAGTGGTGAACAGGCAGGGAACAAGAAAATCATGTCAAAAACTGTAGCTGTTGCTGCTGCTGCAACTTTTGTATTCTTCTCATTAATGCAGTCCGGGCTTCTGAAGCTGCAACTACCTGAGCAGTTGTGCCATAAAACTCCCCCTCTGCTTGTGACAGACAGACACATCTATTCCTTAACTCTCTGAACTTCGAAAGGGGTATTGGAAGCCAAAACAGTGGTAGGTTGTGGAAGAAGAGGATTCATGGGCTTTGTAATGAGTGTAGGGGTGGAATGTGAGGTGGTTTTCTCAATCATGTTGCATTTTAGGATCAGCCTCACATTGCGCGGAGGTAGCACAATGGTTGGGACATTTGCCTCTGAGCTAATGAGGGCAGTTTTGGGGAGAACTTCTCCATTGCATCAGAGGGAAGCAAAGATCTGTAGCAGAAGCTAGTTGTTTGCCCTTCGTCATAGCATGCGCATGTTTTGCTGGTAATTACAAAATCACTTAGATGGAAATTCAGTACGTGTGCAGCACCATTGCTATTACTGCCTGTTGTTTGAAAGAATTGCCAGTTAAGGAGTACTATGGGATTCCAAATTTATTCCAAGGTCTTTGAAAACAGTGTTTGATTTATTTTAACTCTTCAGGGTCAAAATGAGAGTTTATCCTTTCATTCTACTTTCTTTAGGTGGTATAGAGGCACTGTGTTTTTCTCCTCCTTGTGCACATTTACATTGGTGTTGCCAGTAGACAGTGGTGCCCAGTATAGTTTAGCAGGACATGTTTTCATCCTGCACAGGGTTGCAAATCCATTGGACTAGAATTTTGCTTTCTAATTTTACCTTTACATTCTAAGTAAGGAATTTGACTTGGGTGTGAGAATACTCGATTGTGCAGTATCTGGAATATGTTAGTCATTTTTTGGTCTTACTGGTTGAGGCATTCCACAGCAGTGAGAGGGTTGCTCCTTCATTGGTGACCTCACAGTGGCCTTTGATAAGGACCTGTATGCTGTTGAGGGGTAAAGCAAACTACTGCATTGTACAGTGAAACACTTGGAAAAAACATTTCAGGTGATGCGTTATTTATCTGGAAGAATTTATCTTTCTCAAGTTTACTGGACAAGAATAAACTTGTCAACCATGGTGACATTTTGAGAAGCTTGAGAGTAGAAGTTTCCGTTACTCATATGACGTTCCCTGTGGGTGACTGTCACATTAATGGGTTAGTTACTTGTGTGGTTTTTCACTTGGTGACGTGTGTAAAAGTAAGTACTTTTCCTCTATAACAAGGTTTAAAGTGCCTAAGCTGAAAGCTAAAAGGAGACTCATAATAAAAATGTGTGTTCACACTTTTGGAGAAAACAGATAAGGTTCTGTTGGTTGGTTGTTTTTGAACACATTGAAATTAGGAATGAATTTGATAAGCTAAAGTAGTTCATGTGTGTATTACCTGTAATGTAAAAATGATCTAATGATATGAAAACTACAGTAAAATATAAATATTAAGGCTATATATAAATATATAGCCATGGTGGGAAATCTAGTGATTTGCTTGTCATGTTTTTTTTTTTTTTGGTAACAGGATACTTAAGTGAAAATTATTACAGGATTAATGAGGTCTTGTAAAAATCTAAACTCATGAAATAATGTAAATGTATTTGATAGTAAAATAGCAAGTTTTATCAAACTTTGTTTCAGAAATGTCTACTGTTGTGACTACGGCTATTGTTCTCATCTAGGCTATACTTTCAAATATCTGTTGTATTCTGGTTATAAAACTGACCCTTTTCATGAAGAAATGTTGATTTAACTGAGTTAACTAAAGAAGCACTGAGGTTTCAAGTGAATACGTGTGTGCATTGTGTGCACAGTAACTTTCAGGCAGCTCCAGCTTCTTTTTTTCCCCACAGTGTTCTCCAGTACTCTTATGGCTTCAGACTTTTTTGAAGCATCCAACTAAAGCAGAGGAATAAATACTTTAAAAAATGGACATCTAAAGACTATAGACCTTATTTATGGAGAGCAAAAAAAAATCTGAAGATATTAAATTGAAAGGTGGATAATTTTCTTGCATTAAAAAAAGTCAGCCAGGCTTTCTGCCCTCCTGATATGTCTCTCAGAGAAACCCTAATCATAAAAGTAGAGCTTATGGTTAGCGGAGTAACATCAACTTGTGTCAGTCCAAATCACTGCCTAATTTCTATAAAAGGATAGTTTTTCAAGGTATTAGTTGCTTAAAAGAAGGAAGGGAAGTGAGTCAAAGGTATAGATTGTTGACTGAAAGAGGAGTTTTAAGTACAAGTTTACATTACAGTACTCATGGGAAGGGATGTTTTCTTCACATGGTGATCATCAGAAGGCTGCAGACTTCAAGGTGGTGTGGACTGAGAACAGCTAACAGTGCCCACCAAAGTTGTTCTTTATGTCATCAGTTAGTACTTGGATGAGGATAATGCTTAAATTATGTAGTAAGAACCCTATTTTCGATGGCAGTGGGATTGTGCCATGATTAGAATCCTGGCTTTGGTGCCTATTACCATCTTCCTTTTCTAGCAGTTCACTGTTCTGGTGTGCGGCAGATGTTGACAGAATCATTTATGGTAGTCAGTTTGTCTGGATACATACTAAGTGTTTCCCACTTTACACTTTTTTAATGCACTTTTGTACTTCCTGTGCTCTTGCTTTTTACTTCCCGTTAGTACTTTTAAAGTAGTCTTATTGCTCCTTTTGTTATTTGAGAATAGTGACAACAGTGCTACAGATTTCATAATACCCTGCAAAAAAGCAATTGTCTAAATATTAATAGGTTCTGTGCTATAACTGGGATGCTTGGAAAGGAGGTAGATGTGATTAAAGTTGCATGTGTGAAAAGGGGAAAAATCATAGAAGTAATAATATTCCAGAGTTTCTGTATTGGCTTGAATTGTTGGGCAAGAGTTTGTGTTTTGTTGCATCAACTACACCAACAATTTAGAATGAACTGCTGGGTGTACTCCTGCTGGGTCTTCCACTTGACAGTTTTTAGTAAGTGTGTATTGCAGATTTCTCTGTTCTCTGCTTGCTTTCTTCCAAGTGCCCTTTCTGAAAGTCATGCTACCAGGGGAAAAGAAGTTCTGATTTCACAAATGTCCTGATTTTATTAGTTTCTTTATTAATAATTGTAATGTAACAATTGTAAATGTAATAATTGTAAATTGACTTAGATATGTTTCCTTGAACGGTGGATCCAAGTGCGGTGAAGAGAAAGGCAGTTTATTCAGGACATTTATTCAGGTAGTTCCTGCTTTATAGCCTCTGGAATAAAAGCTAATCTTAATCCCTAATGCAAAGGAAACGGGTATTTGTTTTAATTAGATGTGCATGTATAATTTGCTAGCGAAAAAGAGTGATTGTTTTATTTCCTGAAACGTGATTCAGCTTTAGGAGGGATGCACAGGAGGGCATGACCTCTATAGGTGTGGGGAACATAGGTTTAATTACAGCCAAACAATTAATTTAGTGAGAGAATGTTGAAAACCAAAGGTCTGATTATTATTTAACTGTCATTAATATCTCCAAAGACTTCCTTTGGTTGGTGTGTTTTTCCTATCTATGTGCAAGTTGTTGAGAACTTGGGAGTATGTTGAGATAAAAAGTCAAGGTGGTACTACCTTTCCAATCACTTGTTTAAATATGTCACTTTTTAAATTTTTCTCTAAGATGGCTTTTTTGTTTGTTTGTTTTTTGTCTTTAAGATAAAGCACCTTTGTCAAAGAGTCTGTTATTAGTCCCAAGTGCCATCTCGATTCTATTGACTCTGCTCTTCCAACATTATCAGAAGTTCTTTGCATATAACCTACAAGCTATAAAAGAGGATTTTCAGGTAAGAGTGGGTTCATTTTGTGTGGAAAGATACTGCAAACTGTGGTCTTCTATGTGATTTTGGTTTTTTTTTCACCCCCCAGTCTGTTTCTCCTCTGGTTCTTTCCCTTTGTTCACTGTTGAAGACCAGCTTGTTCTTACCTTTTTTATATCACCCCAGTAGGCCACTATTTGGAAAAACTGAAACTATCAACATAGCTTTTCACTTCTTTCTTTTGTCTGGGAAATGGTTGGGTTTGTATCATTTTTCTTTCCAACCAGTGGCATTTGGAAGCTCGTTGTGAATGAAGTGTGATTTTTAACCCATGTAATAATATAAGTGTTTTGATATGAATGTCAATATCTTACTGTGCTTAGTTTTTGAAGCTGAAGAGGGCTATTGTGATCAGGTACTCTGATTATGTATGATTTATTTTAACAATAGAGGCCGTAACTTTCACTCTGTAACTTCTGCTGTAGTTAGTTGTGGGAAACTAAAATTTGCCTGTTGAAGAGAACTGCTGCTTCTAATATGAAGATTTTTAAAAATGGGGGTATTTGCCATGCTCCTCAGTAATGTGCTGAATTGTTTAATTATCTTACTAGACATTTCTTGCTTATTCCCAGTTCAAACTGAGATGCTTTATCTTTCAGGTATTGCATCTTGTAAGGTTTTGTTCTCAGCCTAATTAGGAGTTCTCTAGTATCAGTTGCAATTGTCAAAAAAATACACTTAAAGGTGGTTAGATAAATTTTGTGGGGATTTGTTGGTTTTGGGGTTTTTTTCTTTTTTGGAAATGGCATACTACTGCTCAACAGAGAAGGGTCAGCAAATGCCTCTGTAATTATCTTACCCTGCATGTTTTACAGTTACATTTGGAAAAAATATCTAGTCGGCTTAATGTCTTTGAGGATGCCGACTGTAGCCTGTAAGCCTTAAAAGATTATTAGATCTAACTGGTGATTCTCCATGCTGTTGCACTGTCTGTGATCTTTCTTGTCAAGAACAAGAGCTTTATTGTAATGATGTAGATTACAAATCTTCAAGAGTACTGCTTATATTTTCCCAGTGTCTTGCCAATACTGTGCAGCAAAAATACAAAAACTAATGTCTGCCTTTTAAAAGTGTTACAATCAAGTGTTTGGGAGGGGGAGGAGAAAGTCTAAGAAACTATTCAAGTTTTAAATGGAAATTTTGTGGGCTTGGGGTTTGTTTGCTTGTTTGTTCGTTTTGCAATTTCCCTTCTAAAGAGTCCTCTCTTTCCATTTGTTTGATCTGCTGAAAAACAGTAGTAGCTGTGTTTTATTCAAAGAAACCATCTTTACTGTGTCTTAAGCATAAACATTTGCAAGTATCTATGGAAGCTATGATACTTCCATTGTGGTGCTTTGGGGAATTCATGGGTTTGAGTTTTTTTCTTGAAATTGTTGTTTCATTTATTGTCATAGCCTTTGGAATAAGCTATATACTATATGACTGTGAACCCCTGAGATCAGGGAGAGCAGATCGTTTAACGCCTGTCTGATGCTAATATTCAAATGAGAACACTTAAAAGAAAATTTGTTTAGAATAAATTCATCTGCAGGGATGAGTTTAATGGAATGGAATTTTTCCAGAGGCATTTTTGGATATATTGGATATTAACACTTGTTAAAGCTGGTAGAGAGCGTAGGAAATAAAGCGTGCAGTTGTAGAAGACTACATTTGTTTTGGAAGGCAAAATATATACTGTTCAAAGCTAAAAGATCTTTGTCTCCATAAAAGGGACCCTCAAGAGCAGTGAAGATGCTGTGTGTAAAATTAAGATCCTGGTTACATTAGACCTACGTATTTTTTAAGCTGGTGTCCTGGTTTGAGGTCAAACCAGGACAGCTCGCTAAAGTAAAGAGCAATTAGGCTTAGAAGCCTTCCATAGTCTATGCAAGGGCTGTTCACTTAACATGTATCATGAAATGTTCAGCTGCAATGTCACAGCCCTGCCAGTTTGGACTTCAGGAGGGGTGGTGCTAACGCTACGGGCTAGGTTTTAACATGGGGCATGTTCACATGGGACAGCTAGAACGGTGAGGTCCCACTTCTTTCTTCTTGTTCAGTCCTTTGGTATGCTGGAGAAGTTAGAGGCAGAAGCATCATTTGAGGTCTAAAGACCTTGAGAAACGTAAGGCTCAGGTAGTGTGTTGGCACTTGGACTTCCACGGAGGGTAGAATGCCTAGCAGGCTGTGGCTTAGGAAATGGAATAGTGAGAGCCAAAGATGAGCTGGAAACTAGTGAGGGAGATGTAGGGCAGCGAGGAAGGTTTCTGTAAGTACATCTGCAGCAAAAGAAGGGCTTAAGGAGAGTGTGGGCCCAGTCCTTATTGTGGCGGGGGACCTAGGTGACAAGAAATATGCAAAAGCCTGATGTATTCAGGCAGACATATTTATTGGTTTGTACTAGTATGTCAGGCCTCCAAGGTCCCTAAACCTCTCAGCAGAGTCTGTGAGAGTGAAGCAGTATCCACCATTGGGAAAACAGAGTTAGGGAGAACTTAAACCAAGTATACACACACAAGTTAATGGGACCAGACAGGTTGCCTCTGAGGGTGCCAAAGAAGCTGGAAGTGTAATTGTGAGAACTTTCTCTAGCATCTTTGAAAGGTCTTGGCAGAAGAAAGGCCAATGTCACAAGAAAGGCCAGTGTCACAGCCATCTTCAGGAAGGGCAGGGAGGAAAATCCAGGTAACATCAGGCCACTCAGCCTTACTTTGGTCCCAAGGAAGGTCATGGAGCAAATCTTTTTAGAAGCCATTTCTTGAACACATGCAGGACACAAAGGTGACTGGGAGTAGCCAACCTAGGTGAAGTGGATAGATCCTGTGGGTCACAATTGGTTGCACAGCTGGTAGCAGCAACAGGGTTTTGTGCTCATGGGACCCTCTGTGAGGACTGAGGACTACTTGGAAGAGATGGGATCCATCTAACTGAGTGGGACCAAAGCGTCTTTGCTAACAGGCTGACCAACCTAGTGAGAAGGACTTTAAGGCAGCAGCAACACAGGAAGGAGGTCACAACCCACAGTCCAGTGAGCAGGCAGTGGACTGGGTTATCCAGCTAAGGCTACAGGGTGATGTGAACAGAAGGGATCTTGTAATCAACAAAATGGGACTGAAAGGGACCTACTTCAAGTATATGCACATAAATAAGGAAGTGCGTACAGGACAGCATTATGTGGAACACTCCCATATGTTTTCTGGGAAATCAGCATGACTGGGTGCCTCTCAGAAGTGTCAGTACACTAGTGCGTGCTACATAGGGAACAAATAAGAGGAATTAGAGGTCATATGCCATTACAGGGCTATGATCTTACTGGGGTCACAGAGATGTGATAGGTTAACTCACGTGATGGGAGTGCTGCAACAGGCAGATAGAAGCTCTTGAGGAAGGACAGACAAGGCAGGGAATTGCTCTTTATGAGAAAGAGCAGGAGGACTGCACGGAGTCCTTGGGACATGAGGAAGTTGAGAGTTTATGGGTCAGGATTAGGGGGCAGACCAACACAGCCAACTTGGTGGTGATGTTTGCTACAGGCCACCTGATTATGAAGAAGCAGATGAGGCCTTCCTCATACACCTGGAAGAAACCTCACTATTTCAGGCCCTGTCCCTCATAGAGGGCTTTAACCATCCTAATACGTGGTGGGAAGGCAACGCAGCAGGGCACCAGCAGTCCAGGAGGTTTTTGGAGTGCATTGATAGCAACGTCCTAACACAGGTGATCGAGGAGCTGATGAGGGGAGATGTTATGTCTGGACCTTGTACTTACAAACAAGGAGGAAGAACTGGTTGGGCATGTGAAGATCGGGGCAGCCTTGGTTGCAGTGATTATGAGATGGTGAAGTTCAGGGTCCTGCGAGGAGGGGACAAGGCAAATTGCAGGATTGTAACCCTGGACTTCAGGAGAGCGGGCTTTGGCCTGTTCAGGAATCTGCTCAGAAGATTCCTATGCAATACGGTTCCAGAAAAAAAGAGTGCAACAGCAGATCTGGTTGTTTTTCAAGGATCATGTCCTCCCAGCTCAAGAATGGCTCATCTAGTGTGTAGGAAGTCAAGCAAAGGTGTCAGGATGCATGCATGGAGGAATGGGGAGCTCCTGACTAAACTCAAACATAAAAATGAAGCACACAAGGTGGAAGCAGATCAGATGGCTTAGGAGGAATATGGAGACACTGAGCATGCAGGGATGGATTAGGAAAGCAAAGCCCACCTGAAGTTGAATCTGACAAAAGACATGAAGGGCAACAAGAAGAGCTTTTACAGGAGTATCAGCAAAAGGAAGACTAAGGAAAATGTAGACCTGCTGCTTCATGGGAATGGGGACCTGGAGACAAAAAACATGGAAAAGGCTGAGGTATCCAGTGCTTGCATTGCCTTGGTTCTTTACTAGTAACACTTGTTTTCAGCAGTCCCAGGTCCCTGAGATCAATACGAGTCTGGAGCAACAAAGGCTTAAAATCAGTGAAGGAGGATCAGGCTAGGGAACATTTAAACTAACTGGACATACATAAGTCCATGGGACCTGGTGGTGTACACCCACAAGTTTTGAAGGAGTTGGCCTGTGTCACTGTGAGGCCACTCTAGATTATCTCTAAAAGGTCATTCCAATCAAGGAAGGTTCCTGAGGACTGGAAGAAAGCAGATGTCATTCCTGTCTTCAGGAGAGGCAAGAAAGGAGATTGGGGAGCTACAGGCCAGTCAGCATCATCTCGATCTCTGGGAAGGTGATGAAACAAGTCCGCCTAGAAATAATTTTCAGACATACAAAGAACAAAAAAGTGACTGGGTGTAGTCAGCACAGCTTTATGAAGTGGATCTCTTGACTAACCTGATAGCCTTCTATGATGAGGTAGATAACTGTCTTGGTGAGTGAGTGGAGAAAAGTGAATGTTGTTTATTTTGACCTTAGTATAGTTTTTTTTACACAGTCTCCTATAACATCCTCAGACAAACTGATGAAGTACAGATGAGATAAGTGGTCAGTGAAGTGGGTTGAAACCTGGCTGAACTGACAGGCTCAGTGGTACAAAGTCCAGCTGGAGGCCAGTCTTTTGTGGTGTACACCAGGGATGAATATGAGGGTCAGTACTGTGTAGTGTCTTCATTCATGACCTAGACAGCAGAGTGTGCTCTCAACAAGCCTGTAGGTGGTGTAAAACTTGAATGAGTAGCTGATACACCAGTTAGTTCTGCTGCCATTCAGAGGGGAGAAAAGGATCAACAGGAACCTTACGAAGTTCAGCAGAGGCAAATGCAAAGTCCAGCCCCTGGAGAGGAGTGACCCCATGCACCTGTACAAGCTGGGGGCTGAGCAGCTGGAAATCAGCTTTATCGAAAAGGCCCTGGGGGTCCTAGTGGGGACTAAGTTGAACATAAGCCAGCAATGCAGCATTGTGGCTGAAAAGGCCAACGACATCCTGGGCTGCGTTAGGAACAGCCTCACAAGGAGGCCTGGTGCAGCGATCCTTCCCCTCTACTCAGCCTCAGTGAAACTGCATCTGGAGGGGTGTCCCTTGTGCTGGGCTCCTGAGTACGATAGACCTTGACATACTGCAGAGAGTGCAGTGTAGGGCCACCAGTATGGTCAGGGGCTGGAGCATTTGGCATATGAGGAGAGAGAGAGAGCTGGGACTGTTTAGCCTGGAGAAGAGAAGGCTTAGGGTGGATCTAACCAGTGTGTGTAAATACCTGATGGGAGGGAGCAAAGAAGAGGGAGCCAGGCGCAGTGAAAGGACAAGAGGCAATGAGCACAAATTGAAATACAAGAAATTCCATTTAAAGAAAAAGCTTTTTCACTGTAAGATTGATGGAACAGAGGAATAGTTTCCCTAGAGAAGTTGTGTTGTCTCCATCTTTGAGAGATATTCAAAACCAGACTGGACCATGGTCAGTTAACATCCTGCTGTAGTTGACTTTATTTTGAGTGAGGATGTCAAACTAGATGATCTCCAGAGGTCCCACCTCAACCATTCTATGATTCTATGAAAGCATGCCTGACCAGCTGCTTGCTTTCTTCCATGAGGCAAGTGGTGCTGCAGATAGGGGGGAGTCATACCTTGACTTTAGCAGGGCCTTCAACCCTGTTTCCCATTATGTCCTTGAAGCCAAATTGGTGAGGTGTGTACTGAATAACTGGAGAAGAAGATGGGTGGAAAATTGGCTGGATTCTCAATGGGGTTATGGTCATTAGTGCAAAGTCCAATTGGCAGGTATTATTTAGGGGAGGGCACCTCAAAGACCAGTATATTTAATGTCTGCATTAGTGACCTGGATGATGGGATGGAGTGCGCTTTAAGCAAGTTTGTGGATGACCCAAAATTGGTGGGAATGGTCAATATGTTGGAAGGCAGGGCTGCTATTAAGAGAGACCTTGGCAAGCCCAAGAAATGGGCTGACGGGAACTTAATGAATTGGCATGTCCTGCTTCTGGAATGGAATAGCCTCAGGCTGCAACTGTGCAGGCTTGGGGGGGCAAGTGCTTGGGAAATAGCTCTGCAGAGAAGGACCTGTGGATCTTGGTGGACAACAAGCGTCAGCAGCGCGCTCTTGCAGCTGAGAAGGCCAACCATCTCCTGGACTGTATTAGTGACATTGTGGCCAGTAGGTTGAGGCAAGTAACCCTACTCCTTTAGTTTACACAGTGCTCTAGATGTGGTCTCACAAGTGCCCAGTTCTGGGATCCTCAGTAGAAGAAAGACATGAACACGCTGGAGCGTCCACCAGGACAGTCAGAGGGTTGGAGCATATGTCATACAAGGAGAGGCTGAGAGAACTTGGTCTGTCCAGCCTTAAGAAGGGAAGGCAAAGAGGAGACACCTTATTGCTGTACACAAGTGCTTGATCAGAAGCTATAAAGAAGTTGGAGCCAAAGTATGCTTGGAGGTGCACTGAGGTAGTGCAAGAGGTAGTGAATACAACATGGAGCATCACAAATTCTGCTTAGATGTAAGGATTTTGTTTAGTTTTTTAAATGATGGGTTTGGCCAAACACTGGCACAGGTTGCCCAGGGAGGTTGTGGAATCTCCATCCTTGGAGGTGATCGCTTGACACGGCCCTCGATCAACTTGATCTGATTGGACCCACTTAGAGCAGTACACTCGACTAGTTGATATCTGGAGGTCACTTCAAAAATATTTTTTTTTGTAATTTTACAGTTTACTAGAGTTGTGGTTCCCATTTTTATTTGTAAATGTGAACCAGGGATATAAAAATGTACTTGACTTCATTTAGATTGTAGATTTATTTTAACAGGTAGACCTCTTCCTTGAAAATATTTTGTTTTTAAACAGACTTCTTGAACTCTCCATAACATTCTACTCTTTATTTCCCTCCTTAAATGTACTGCATTCCTGTCGTCTGAATTCGGTATTATATTCACTCTGAGCACAAATTCTGTAAAGAATTTCTTTGAAGGAAGAGAGACTTAACATGACGATCTTTAACCTTGTAGATTTGGAGACTTGTATGTGGGAGAACAATATGTCTTGATTTGAAAGACACATTCTGCAGCAGTCTGCTCATTTACAACTTTAGAATATTTGAAAGAAGATATGGCAGCAGAAAATTTTCAGTAAGTTCCATTTACTTTTTTTTTTTTGACAGAAACGGTTTTCTACGCTGTTTAGAGTCTTATAGTCTTGGATTAATATTGCAGTTTTATTACTAACATTTTGTATAGAAATTTATGTTAAAGGGTTTTAAAAAGAATTTGGTTTCCATAAATCTAAATTTCTATTGATAATATCTTGCAGTCAGTGGATTATTCTAATTAAAATTTGCAGATGTATCGCTTGAAAGTTATCAGGCCCATAGAATTTAATTTTGGTAACAAATCTAACTCTTCGTTCTTCAGTATCTAGACACGTAGATGTGGAATTATGTTGTGCTAAAGATTTTATTTGTCTTAATTGTACTAGTATAGTGGTTTTCTTGTTTTTTCTTTTATTTAGAGATACATTAAAACCTTGTTTTTAAACTGCTGAATTAATTCAAATTAAACTTTTTCTTTCCAGTCCTTTTTACTGGGTGCTTGGATGCTCTCAGCTTTGTTTGATCTTCTCCTTGTAGAAATCGCTCAGTATATATTTGGCATCACCATCAACAGCTTGCCTTCTGGTTTGTAAGTAGCTCCTAATGGATTGGTTTCAAGGGATTAATTTGTGCCGACTTTAATATAAAACAAATAATCTTTCTTCATGTAACCATTCAAATCAAATTTAATCCTCTTTTGAACTACAGTGTAAAGGTTTTTGGCACAACTATTATATTTTCAAACACTGATCTCCTAATTATGATCTGTGGTTAATTAATTTACAATGTATCCATATAATGATTATTTTCCATTCTGTCAGTCCTGTTTCCACTATCAGCATGATTTGAAACATGACTTGCAGTGCACAAATGATTGCCGTATTTGGTTTTGTTGAATTCAGTAAATCTGAAAACTGAAATCAGGTTGGTGCTGATTTCTTTCTTAAATCACAAAGACAGCACAACTGTAATTCATATCTTTATGTTAAATTTTAAATGCATATGCAGTTCTGTGCATTTCATACTGGTATTCCATTTGCTTGTGTTTCAAAAATTGAGTGCTCTAGCATGTTACTCCATTTAGTGCTTGTATCTGAAGTTCTTAAAGCTTTGAGGTATTTAGTGGTTCGGTTTCACATAATCTATATTTGAAATTTCTGCACTTAGTAAGAGTTGTACTTGTTACGGTAGGTCTGTAGAGCTTGCAGAGCCTTTGTGGTTAAGCTTCTGACAAATGAGACCAGCCTCATACAGGCTTGAGTTTCCATGTGTTGCATACCCTAAGGTAATAATAAAAGCTCTTGGGGCGAGATTTTTAATAGTGAACACCATATTAGGCTTTTTTTTTTTTAACTTCTACTTTTTTTAGTGTGTCTCTTAAAGGCTGATTTAATAAGGAAGAAAAAGCATGTGTTTGACATCATAGAGATATATTTTTGTAATATGTGAGTATTCAAAAGGAGTTGAAAGCTTGAGTAGTACTGCAGTTCATGATGTTTGCTGCCTTGAAGTTTGTAGCTTGGACATAGGCTGCTAGTGTGTCTGGACAAATTCACTATTTTCATCTGTGTAAAAAGATACTTTGTGCGAAAGTAGGGTGTAATAAATGTGCACATCACACCAACAGGGAACTAATGAACAGTTTGACTATTATACCTTTTGATGCTATTTTTATCTACGACTGCAGAATGTTGTCAGTTACAAAGAAATCTGCATCAAAGAAATTTTTATTTGAATGAAGTATAAATGTTACTTACGTTTATTTGTAGGTCATGCTAACATTGATCTTGAGAGAATGAAGCTAATTTTAGAAATGTGGGATATATAGTAGTTTCCGGAGCATGCAGTTGTGCATAAAAAATTATACTTTGTATCACAATTCTTCAGTATTGTCTGTTTTATTATACTAATAGTCACTATTTCATGTCTGGCAATATTCACAGTCTTTTGAGATGACAAAAGCATTGGAAAGTTTAACACTGATACTAGATTTTAGTTACAAGAGCTGTTGAGCAAATATGAAGAGGTGCAATTATTATTCTGCTTCTATCATATTTACAGTGCAACAAATATATCTCTCTCTTCTGGCTATAGAACATCCCTCAGTGTAGTAAAAATGCTAGAATTCAGAAAAAGAATCACTTGTTTACATTATAACAGTCCCCTGACTTTTTTTCCTCTTTTTATATCATTTCACTGTTGATATTAGTGAGTGATCTTACACTTCCGGTTCGAAAACTTTTCCTGCGCACGCTTCGAAGGTAATTGCGATAAAGGATTACACTGATGACTCTCGCCTGAAATTGTTTAGAAACAATATAGTACAGTATAACATCCAAGCACGTACTGAGATTCATGAGAAAGGTGGTAAAGGCTGCCCAGGGATTGTAAGTTGTATCTTCATGCTGCAACATGAGGAAGGTGAAGCAAATGTGGAAGGGTACAAAGCAGATGAGTACTTGAGCAATCAGAGTAACTATAATTCTTATGGATCTCTCCTTGGCCTTAGGCTTCAGTTTGGAAGTTTTGCCGCGGATAAAATTGTAAATAATGACTAGGTAACACCCCATCATGATAAACAAGGGTATCAAAAAGAAAAAAATCAAGCGAGAAAAGTTCAATGTATTTACTTCTTTTAAATGGATGATATCAAGCATTTTCAGGCAGGTGGTGAAATTCGAGGTTTTGTCTGGATCAGATCGTAAAAACAGCAATGGGGATGTTGTTGCGAGGGTCATTACCCAGATTCCAGTGCAAGCCAGCACAGCTTTTTTTGTATTTTTTAGCTCTTTGACATGTTTGGGCTGGACAATAGCCATAAATCTGTCTACGCTTATAAAAGTGAGCAACCACAGAGCAATGGCTGGGTAAAATACAGTGAAAGCACTGATAATCCGACAGAATGTATCTCCGAAAGGCCATGTTTCGTTCCCGTGGTAGACTATCCGAAAAGGCAAGGAAAATATAAAAATTATGTCAAGTAATGCCACATTCATCATATATACAGTTATTGTTGTCCTCTTCTTGGTAGTGCAGCTGAAAACCCATAGTGCAGTGGCATTCACCAACAATCCCACTACAAATACGAAACTGTAGAAGACCAGTGATGCAATCCTGTATTCTTCAGGGTGGTGAATTCCAGGCATCATATTTTAATTGAATTTAGGAATAGTTGTTGCACTCCATAAATACCCTGAAAATAGATACAATATGAAAAGTTATTCTCAGTCAAGTAAAAACTTTCTTTAAAAACAAACAAGAAGATTGTTATAGAACGGGGTTTAGCAATGAGATTGTATTATTTAGCTGTGAAAATGTGCTAGCTTTGTTGCTTTTTCTGACCACAAATACATTATTGTGTTCTGAAGAAAGTACATGTACTGTCAGACTTGTGAGAAATAGTATTTATAAGCTAGTTTTAATTACATATTTTTAATTACTTAAGAGATTTCTTATGTAAGGAATCAAAAAGTCAAGACTGACCATCTACTTTGAGTGTGCTTATGTAGCTGATAATTAGATTGAAACAGTTGTAACTGAGGTAAGAGAGCTATTTTCTTAAGAAAATATTTCTTCAAGTTGTCCCTGCTGAAAAATTAATGACTAAAACTAGTTAAGAAAAGAAATAAGTGAGCATGGCATGTAGTGACATTTGGATACGCAAAGTGAAGTATTGACTTTGCATTTTATCTGTGTAGGAACTACTTAGCTCCCAAAGAATAGGTCCATGCTGATGCTCATAAAAGACATTAAAAAGCTATTGTAATGGCAATGTAGCTTCTAATACAGTATTTAATCCCAGGGCGTCAGATCCAACCACCTGACATATGAATGAGATGAATACATTGATAAACTTTCTATTTAAAACAGTAAAAAAGATGGGAAGCAGCACAGTCTCCAGTAAGGGCCTGTGTGAACGGGTTTTTTTTTTGGAAAAAGTTGCTGTCTGGTACGCAGCTGCCCCAGAGCACAGTTGGGTTGCTTCTCTCAGCTTCTTCGTCATAGGAGTTGGACATCTGAAACGTCATTATGCAGACTCAGGCGACGAGAGCTGAAAGACGTTGTCCCCTGGTTTACTCTGGAGCCATTTGAGGATGGCAGACCTTCCCTGGTGTTTGCATGGGTGCTTTGGTTAACCCACACTCCCCCTGCTTTCCTGGCTCTTGCTGTGGTCACGGTTTCACGACTTTGCATGGGAGGGTTTTCCTCTTTGGCCTTTTACCCAACCCTGTGGCAGCTTTGTGAAGAGGAGGAGGAGGAAAGAGTTAGTTTTGTCTGATCTTCTCACTTGTGATGGACAGACAAGTAACTTCCACAGTATCAGTTAGGCACCATAACTGTTCTCAAGAGCAGAAGAGTGCATAGTTCCTGTGTTTCTTATCTCCAGAAGCGTAGAATGCATAAATAAAAGCTTATTGTTACTGCTCCTCTGTTTTATGCTTTCACTGTAATGTTATCAGGTACTTTTTTCAATGGTATAGGAATACATAGTGGATTGAACCAGTGTTTGGCATCCTGGTTTGACCCTGGCAAAAATCAGCTGCTTTTGAGAAGAGTATCCATGGAATAACTAACTTAAGTATGACCTATTACATCTTTCTTCAGGTTAGTTTCTGCCTTGAAATATGGAGTTTGGACTTGTGATTTTCTTACAATTCTCCAGTTTACAGATATAAAAGAAATTACACGTACAAGTATCTCTCCCTAAACTTTTCTCTCAAGATTTTCTTTTTTTAACTGTACAACACAAAAAGGTGCGCTTTCTGATCAGATGAGGTCATTATAACATGTAACAGAATTTACGTTTTTTATGGCAAAAGCTATGCGTATAATACTGACAAAAAAAGGAGGTTTGGAGGGCATCTGTATGAATGCATTTAAAACACCTCATTGTGTGAAGAAGCCTAAAAATAAAATAAAAAAAATTATAGCAGTCCTTATTGAAAGGTAGATGGCATATGCTTGAAAGAAAATTTGAGTAGCACATGCTTGTAGCACAGTTGAAATATTTTCTGGCATGCTGTCCTGCTTTCATTACTGTTGCATAAAATTTTTCAAATATTGCTTAACACACACACCCCCAGCCGCTGCACATTTTTTTCTCTTTTGTTTTTTGTTTTTTGTTTTTTTTTCTCTTTTATTCTGTTTTTTTTCTCTCTTGCTAGTGGTTGTGTATGACATAGTGCATATCTCAAGATCCTGACTGATTTAGCAGGTGAATTGAGTAGTCATGTATAGGGTAGGTAGAAGAATTCACTTTTTATAGATGAATGTTAATAAACAGCATGGACTTCAGGGTTGGTTTTGCTCTTCTCTCCTTTTGACTTGCAGTGACTATAATTGTTTCTGGTCGAGTCCTGTTTCCAAAATAACAGGCAGGCTGATGTTGATGGGAAGAGGGGAAGCTGAATCTGGCGTGAGCTTCTATCAGGAAAACCTGTGGTTCCATGCCTTGTTTGCTTGTTAGTTCAAGTTTGTGACAGTTTTGAGATATATCAAAGAATGGATCTACTGTAACAAGAAGGTTTTTTGTTTTGTTTAGTTGTTGAAGACAATGTTTCCAAACTTTGTGGGTTTAGATGCATGTCAGTGTTATAATTAGGTATTTCTCCTAAATTTAATTTTTAAGAATCTAAAATTTAACATTTATGTAGGTAAGAAATAATGAGGTGTTTTTTGTTTTTTTTTTTTTTTTAGAAGTGTGTAGTTTAGCTGTCTTCATTTATACATGAAAACAGATGTTCTGTTCTTTCATCAGTACTTGGCTGCATGAAGTTCAGGTTGATATTTCCCAGGTCAGCTGGGGAAATCAGCAGATCTTTGGGTGCCTCTGGGTGAATGGTTTTGCCCTAGTTGCCATTTTTCATAATGGGAACACTTACTGGTATTGATTAAAGCTCTTGCTGAAGAGCCCCTGGAGTCACTGGTTTCCAGATGTCTGTCTGTGTTAATTCTAAATCATTACTGTGATGTTGGTCTGTATGTTTTATCAGTCTGTTTTATTTTCTTAATGAGAGCTAATGTCCTGAATATCTAATGTGAATTGTGAAGCCTATCTAGGTGCTGTGTACAAGAACAGAGACTTTCAGAACAAAACCAAAATTAAATCTTTTCCTCCAGATTCTTCCTCTGAGTTAGGCAACAGTGACTCCATTTAAAGGATTATGTGTGTCTCTCTCTTCCCAATCCCCTTTTTTTTCTTTGACTGTTCCTTACATTTGCTGACATTTCCCTGAGGAGGACATGGCTTTTAGTGAAGCACAGAGCGATCAAGCAACAAGATCTTCTCTTGGGTTTAATAAAAACAAACATTTTTCCTTTAGCGATAATGTACTTACCAATGCTTTTCATTATTGCATATTTTAAAATTTATTGTTAAAATCCTAAGCAGTATTTTTGGTACTATGCTTTTACAAATGTAGTTGTTTTGCTTTAAATGTTATTTATAGAATGCTGCTGATACTTTGAAAGTGCATTAAAGAATTACATTTCTTTTAATTAGTTCTAGAATAAATGCCCGTGTTCACCTTCTGAAGAAAGAAGTCTATCTTAGCATCATACATAAACATCCAAGTTACTTTGTTGGCATAGCATAATGGATCGTTCCTTACCTTTTGTGAGCTACAGAGTTTCTTCAGAGATGCTCCTTTCATAGCCCCAAATCTGTAGAAGGTTTAGACTTCCTCTTCTCAGCTCAGCTTCACTTTGCTAAAATAGCTCCTCTTCACAGGCAGGAAACAATGACGCAATCTAGCTAGTTCTGAATTTTATTGGTTGTAATTAAAAGTATCTTGCTAGTATTTCATGTATGTGCAGTGTCTGTGAACTGGTATTTCTAGTACCTTTGAACAGGCAAGCTTTTATAATATTTGCAGTGTGGTCAAGCTGGGTTGTTGTACTATGTATCTTTTTAAAACACATTTTTAAATGTTTGTCATATAACAAAAGCATATTTTTGGTTGATATTTACATGCAAAGGTATCTGCAAGAATATGCATCTTGGTTATGCAAAAGTTTCTAATAAGCACAATGTAAATGTATTTTCTGTAAAGCATAGTCTGTTTTTTTTGTGGAAATCCCCATTTTATTTATGTTTGCCTTGAATAGTAGTCAGTCTGAAAGTGACAGAAACTCGTTACATTTGAAATGAGAAGTTTGATTCACTTGAATACATCTTCGTTTATGCCCGTACTTACTGTATTTTACTAACACAACAGTAACGTTTCTGTATTTTATTTGCTGTCTAAAATAACAACATGCCTATTTAAGAGCTTTGCAGAAAAATGCTGTATGAAGAGAGGTTTTAGCCTTTACTAAAATGGAGTAAAATGTCTGAACTGTGTCACTGCAATAGACATCTTTGGCAGGATGAGAGTATTTACAAAGGCTAATAGGTAAAGACTGATTTCCTACATTTTCTCTTTGTCAGCTCGAAAAAAGATCCAAACTTTGAAAGAGCCATTCAGAGAAGGAGATCCTTCCAAATTCTCTGTGGAGTGCTCACTAGCTCCAGGTCTCTGACCATCAGTCTTTGGGACATTGAAGCATACTATGGGGAGTTTGTTACTTCTTGTGGCTTCCATTTTTTTCCCCCAAATGAAGTAAAAAGAGATGTCTGTTGAGGAAGGGAACAGTAATATTTTGGTCTTCTCTTGGCATGTAGTCAAGAATTTGCCAGAATGTGCACACGGTGCCAGAAGCAGCGAAGTCCTGCAGTTCAGATGTAGCCAGAATTAGATTTGTTTCTGGGGACATCTTTCTTCACCAACTGTCAGAGTAATGTAGGTAGGTGATCCTCACTTAGTGCTAAAGATAAATTACACGACTCCAGCACAGAGGGTATTTTTCACAGAAGTTATCTCAGGTGAATGGGTTTGTGGTAGTGCGTAGATACTTGCATAGGTCAGTGTGATGGATGAAGTAATCACAGGGAGGGACCTGGGTATGGGTTTTAGTGTGTAGATGAATAATATATTGAAATATTTGGGCTTTCCTATTCAGGTGAACTAATACCAAACTCAATTTTTGTGATCTTTCCAAATACCTCTTAAATGCAATGAACTGCAAATCCTACCCAGACCATCCTGTAAAAATATAAATCTGTTAAAAAGTGCTTAATATTTCAGGATTAAGGAGTATCTTAAAAGGATTAACCAGTGTTGAAAACTCTTCAGTGGCTTTATCAGTAGCAAGACAACTCTGGAGCATGCTCCAGCAGTATGAGTCACTCCCACTGTTCTTTAGTGAAAGCTCATTGAAATTTGGTGACATATTTATTTTTAAAAGGTTTAAAAAAGAGGTTGGTGGCTACTGGAAGAGAATAACTAGGCTTTTGAACTCTCCTAGGCAAGAGCACTTTATTTTGGGAGAAATAGTGTAGAATAGAAGCCTGGAGGTCCCTTCCCACCTGAATTGTGTTATGAATGTACCAAAACCAAGCAAGTGCTCCCCTTAGCTGAAGACGGAGTACAAAAGTAGTTCTGGATTTGGATGGAAACCAGGCAGATGTTGAGGCTGGGATCAGAAAAGCCGAATGCAGTGAACAGCCTCTTGGCTTGCCGTCATCTTGGGGGAGGGTTGGGAGGGTGAGGCTTTGTAGCTGTGTCTCATTTTGTCTGAAGAGGGTAGCTGATGTCTCAGCCCTGCAGGGGAGGTCATGCCTTGTGAGGGCAGCTGGAATCATCACGCTTCTAACTTAGCTGTTTACATAGGTGGATAACAGCAGCCCAGTTGACTTTAGGGGCACAGTAGCCATCCAGCTGGTTTTCCATAGCATATACATGTCAGTCTATGTTCTGCGTTCACTCAGGCTTTTCACAGTCTGCCTGGTGAGGAGCCGAACTGCTCTGTTGCTGGAAGCTGGAAGGCCTTCCCCGAGTGTGGAGCGACAGCTCTGGCTGGCCACCGTGTGCTGAAAAGAAGTGTTTGCACTGCCAGCAAGCATGTGCTTGTTCTTTTCTAGGTGCTCGGGCTGGCTGCAGCTGCAGGGTGATAAACATTTGGATGTGAACACCCCAGTGAAAAGTTGTACTGATTGTGGTTTGCGAGAGGCAGTGGGCTGCTCTGCTGTGCTGCATTCCCCTGGCGCTTTCGTTTCTGTTATAGGAAGCACCTGACTCTATTTTTGTTTTCTTCTCCTTCTGAACTGTTTTATCAGTAGAGACGAGTGTCTTGCATTGGTTTCCCTCAGATGGGTGAGTACTTCCACTGCTCCAGCTTTTACTGAAATAAATGCTCAGTTCCTTCCAGGGTCTTTTTTTGCTATTCTGAAGTTCGGGGAGTAAAAAAGCTCATTTTAATTGTGTTAAAGCTGTTTTTGAGTAGTTAAAAGCTAAGTCAATGTACTTTACGTTGGAGGCTAAGGCAGAGTGCACGTGGGGTCTATTACGGTGCCTTCACTAACTGGCAGTAAGCCTTAGAAGAAATGAGCTTGATCACTTGCAAAAGTGAAGCACTGAAGGGATTGTCTTCATGCTGTGGCTTTTGCAGGAGTAATGTACTGCTGGGTCTTTCTCTTTCAGTGGCTTACTCATGGCACAGAAAAAGTATGTTTTGCCTTCCACTTACTGTGTAATGTAAGCTTTGTCCAGCTGATACAGAGAAGTTCTGCATGCAGAGGAGCAGAAGGATCATCCTCTACTATGGTTTGGTAAGGAGCAGGCTTGAGCTGGTGTTCTCCTTCTCCTTCTGAACTTTCCAGCATTTGGACCTATTGAAAAGAAAGAACTGAAACTTCTTGCCCAGTCCAGTGCGCCAGTGGTGCAGGAAGCGACTTTCCCATGCGTCAGTTTGTTAAATTACCAGCTTGCTGTTGTGGCTGAGTTCACATGCAGTTTTGGGTTACTGTTCTCAACCTTGATGAAATTGTGCTTTGTTTTTTATTCCCATATTGTGTTATACCATAGTGAAGGTTTAGGAATTGAGTACTGGTTAAAAGTTGTCATGGCACTGAATGCATAAACTTACTGCAATTGTTTCCAGTTTTGCCATATGCGTGTTACTCAGGCTGTGTCATGGCATAGCTGTCCTTCCTCTCCTGTGCCGCAACCTGTGAGTGAGTATAAATGCTGTGTGCAGCAGAGATGAATGAATGGGAAACAGAGCAGCTTAAGAGGACTGCAGCCTCGTTAGCCGTACCTGATATGTCCTAGTTACTGTGACATTTTGCTTTCTCTTCTGTGTTTTGCTAGAATTCGGTATGGTTTGAGAAAGGAGTTCCTGATTTTTTTTCCTTTAAAAAAAAAAAATCAATAATGAAATTGACATTCCGTGTTTCTCTTGGGGTTTTTGCTTTTTTTCCCCTCCTCTTCTTGTACAGCCAGGATACACTCTGCGTCACTAAATACCCTAAAAAAATACAGTGCATCTGGCCTGTCATTCATCTGTTCAGCAGTGTCAGCCTTTGAAAGAGGCGATACTTCATAGTTGTTTAAAACCTTCATGAACACTCAGCTTTTTTTCTTTTCTTTTCTTTTTTAAATCTGTATGCATTGTCAGGAGCTATGCAATGAGTTAGTTTTTACAGTTTGGAAGTGTCTAGGAGAGCTTTTTCAAATACCCTTTCCTTACTAAGTACATGTTGTGTGATATTTTTGCCATTAAACTGCTCTTAAAAGTCTCAGGTGCATAGGAATACTGTTCTGAAACTTGATATGCCTCCCAGGGATAGAGTTAAAGTTTGAAGAGAAATGTCGTTATTGGGAGCTGCTTATACTCACATTCTTTTAATGAAGTCTAGTGCAGAAGTAGGGAAAATAATTTTGACTCCTCCAGAGTTCAGGAGCTTGTACAACCTCTGCTCAGTTACTAGCCTGAGTATATGTAATCAGAAATTAAATAATTAAAAAATGCTGCATATGCTTTAGCATGCCAGTGCAGTGTTTAATCAAAAGTTCCTGAAGTAAGAGGGGGCTGTGCAGATTAACAAACACAATGAAGTGTTGAGGTTGTGAAACTTGGTGTGCTGTGGTGGAGTTGACCTGACATGAGAGGGAGCATTCAGGATGGTAAAGGGGCTGGCACAATCCAGACCGGGACAAAGCAGCTCAATTCCTGCCACATAGCAGTGGGTCTGTTGAGTTCAGATCTCTGCAGGGCAGGGTTGCTCGGTGTGCAGGCTCAACACTGTTCTTGGAGGGTGAAGTTGAGTGTGAATATACTCTGTGTACCTGAACACTGCACACAAGGCCAGCTGATGCTGTGACCTGGCAAAGGAAGGCAGCAGAGCTGGCTGCAAGCAGGTTATTTCAGAGAAGTCACTCTCTTTGCATCTGACATACAGACATGGCATTCCATCATATCCCTTTGTGCTCTCTCTACTATACCAAGGGAAAAATGTGAAAAATATCAGTACGACCCAACTGCATCATGAGCGCTGATTATCAGAGTGCCATTCTTTTCTGTGCTTCGAAATGCAGTTATCCTTTAGACTTGGAAAGGCAAGAAATAAAGACCCTTAACACCTTTTTCATCACATCTCAACTAGGCACAGTGCTGTGTTCTGTCAGAGGACTCCATACTTTCTGACAAACTATTAAAGTACTTAAAGGGGGCCTACAGGAAAGATGGGGACAAACTCTTTAGCAGGGCCTGTTGCGGTAGGGGGATAATGGTTCCAGACTAAAAGGGGGTGGGTTCAGGCTAGGTATAAGGAAGACATTTTTTACAATGAGGGTGGTGAAACA